TTTTAATTAATAATTGTTGATCATCTTGATAAAATAATTTTTGATCATGGATTGAAAATTTCAATTTCAATCCAATCAAATATTCAATCTCAATCTCAATATAATAATTTTTGAAGGCACCCATTAACATTATTAACAATTACAAAGCAAAATACACAATCTTGATAAGAATCTTATAATTACCCAGCAATGATCTGCTCTGGATTTTGATTCCAATTAAAATATTTATATAAATAAATGATACAACATTAGGAGATTCACATTTTGTCATCTTGGACTCTGTCAAAAAATAAATTGTTTTCCAAGGAAGAAAAAAACATCAATTCGCATCTGTCCTCCCAAAAGAAAAAAAAAAATATAGGATAAATAATTAATGTGCACATGTCAATCAAATAACAAACTTCTTTTTTTCTTTTTTTTTTAAAAAATTAAATAAAATGCCACCAAAAAGCAAAACAAACAAAAGAAAACAAGAAAAAGAGACAAGGAATGATGTGAATGATGAGTAAGTGTTTTAGGAATGATGGTGGTGGTTATTGCCACTCGCCATCACTCTAGTTATATATTAATAAAATGTTAGCCTTTGGTTTGTAGAAAGGCCATTTTTTATTTTTAAAAAAATAACAATAAATCCTAATAAGTATATTTCATATTACAACTGTGGTGGTGATTATTAATCATTCTAGTTAAGAAAAAGGCAAGTCATAAACTATAACGAAACATGACCTTCAAAAAAATCAATCAAAACTGTGATACCACACCACCACATGAAGATGACAGCCTAATAAACCCTTTTATTGAATCACCTAAGGCAGGAGATAGGAAAGGAAGTAAGTTGTTTTGCAAATTTTATTTCTTAAATATTTTTTTCTATTAGTTTTCAGGACCCAGTTAAGGTTTCTGGCCGAAACTGCTTCTATTAGTAGCTGAAATTGCCCAAATACTTTGGGCAGAAATTATTTTTTTATAAGCCCAAACTACTTTTTGTTATTAGCCAAAATTGGGCAAAATTATTTTAAAGTTGTTTAATTTAAAACAAGTTGATTCATATAGTTTTTTAATGTTCATGCTTATAGAAAATGTTGAGAAGCCCAAATTGCCCAAACTAGTTTGGGCTTTGAGAAAACAGTTTGGGCCAGAAACCTTAGACCGGTCACCCCTTGGTTTTGATGAAGGACTTCCAAACTATAAAGTGGGCATGGAAATTGATCCGGAATTATTAATTCAAGAAACTAATGAAGTCACAGCTCCTTATTCTGAGTGTTCTTTAACTATATCTCTTGGAAAATTTGGAGATTGAAGTCTGGTTCAGTGGTTACTGACTTGTTGGAAAAATTGTCAAGAATTAAAGGTCATCCCCTGAGGTAAATTGCAAATGATTAATTAGGACCTGCATATATCTGCATGATAATTTTAATCATTTGAACTTTTAGATCAGAGTTTTGGAATATCATTCATTGTGGATTCAAGATAGTGAAACCAAATGGTGCAATGATGAAGAGTATGCTGAAATTCAAAGTTTTACAAAATGCCCAAGTTTTAAAAGTCCTCCAAAGCACATTATTGAACTTTTGAAAGTAATATATTTTTTCCTTTTGTTATTTGCTTTATCCTTGCTTCACTTCTAAATATCATAAATTATAATATATAACACTATTCACATTAGAAATCATTAGGATCTTTAGGTTTTGAAATAAAAAAATTTAAATTAAATATTTTCTGGAAGAAATTCCTAAATCAAAAGGAAATGACCAGTTCTCAGATGATTTGGAAAAGATCAAGTTAACTTTCTCAACACCATATCCTGAGAATCCATTCACTACTTTCTTCATAAAAATTTTATCACTATTGTAAGTTTTGCCTATTTTTGCATTTGAAAATATTGATGTTGGTCTAATTATCTGCTAAAATTTCTGCCTGTAGACATAAATATGTTTTTATGGAAGATTCCATTTTACAAAACCAGATATATCAGAAGCAAATTATGGAGGTTACTTAATACATCCTTGCTTAAAAAAATATTTGTTAGTTTAGAAACTTGTCTATATTATCACATGTAAGTACAGTCAGGATTATTACCAAATATGGAATTTCCAAATACTGTAAGGATAGACAATCTAGAAATCTTTAGAAAAAAAACAAAACAAAAATGATTGGCTAATTGTATGCAGATCTTTTATTTGAAAAAATAAATTAATAAATAATGCTTTTTTATGAAGAAAACTTGGCGAAGGCTTTATTAAATGGTCATATAACCTCCAAAATTTATGTATTACGTTTATTTTTAACTGCATTACAAGTCTATCAAAAAATAATCTTCAAATTATAATCATAAAATTACCATAAAAATAACTTTTTTCATAATGGTTAAATATACTGATGAAATGTTTGAGTTATCAACCTGTCACTCATTCATCAAGAATCTTGTTATTAAAATTAATAAATAGTATCATGAAATATATTATAATTATAAATTAATTTGTGGATATAAATAAAGTCTATGCCAAATTTTGTATGTGTGTGTGTATATATATTACTTCTTTACCTGCTTATCATTCATTCATTATTATAATTGTTTTCATTATTACTTGTAAATAATTCTAAGATGATTGGAGCTATAAAAATATGAATAAATTATGTTACATCATTAATTTTGTAAAAGCATACTTTGAATAAATATTTAACAAATAGTTTTAAATGATCTTTACTTTATTCCCTAATGCATTTAACATATTTATCTCAAATGATTCTCTGAATATTTCTCAGTGCAGCAAATAAGCAGTGTGCAATTGATCTTGACGTTTACCACTAAAATTCAAAGAGAGAAAAAAAAAACTTAAAATTTAAACTCCCAGCACTTAAATTTCTTTAAATTTATGTAAAGGCTTACTTTGAACAAATCAATAGGTTTTTGTAGATGTTTAGTAGATTATGAAAAAGCAAGTTCAATACTGTTTATTTTGATTATTATTATTATTATTTAAAAAACAAAAAAGATCTTCAAAAGGCAGCAAAGTATCACGTTAACTCATTTGCCACACATATAAATTGATCGATAAAGGAGTTCCAATTTTTCTAGATTCGATTTCCAAATTTGGTAATAATCCTGACTGTACTATGTTTTACAATCTCCTATAGATCGGCGGGAAATGTCCTGTGACTGCTCACTAATAAAATTTTTTTGATCAACACGGAATTTTATATGAAAAAATGAAAAAATCAAATTGTCACTTGAATCATAAAAAATAACAAATATATGAAAAATCCTTTATTTTGATGTATTTTTTGCCAGGGTAAACAAATACCACTAAGCGATAATCTTAACATGAAGTTGGACTACCAGTTCTATAAGTTCTATAATAATAATAAAGAAATTGGATAACATGCACAATTTCACTTTGGGCTTAATTTTTTTTACATAATAATAATAAATGCAACAGTTAAGTTCTAATTTCCAACCTTTAAATGTTTATTTTTTTAAATCACATAATTTGTTTATATAGAAAAGTATTAACTTCAAATTTGCTTTTAAAGATTATTTTCATAATAATAAACATTTTACCTAATAATATTAATATATTAATATACATTGCTGGATGAAATAGAAGATTGCATTTATTTAATATTAACAAAAACAAATTCGCATAACAGATTCTTTTCAAGAATGACTATTAATAAAATGGAAATAATGTCAGTTAAATTTGGTTTTTTTAATATTTTAAAGATTAGTTTCATACTATTACTAATTTTTATTTCATCCATTTATTATTTTTTTTATATATTTAGAAGTGTAATGATTAAATTAAAAGGTATTTATTTATTAATACATTAGCAGGATCTGATGGAGATGTAATACAGTATATATAGGTTAAAAGAAAATTTTATTAATGATTATTAATGGTTTTATTTATACATTTATATTATTAATGTAAATAAATAACATATGTAAAATTTTTAGTTAAAATCATATCAATTGACCAGAAGATGACAATTATTTCAAGATTACAAGCACTGATGTTACTGCTATTATTAAAAGGTATGTGTGATTATATTAATATATTTATTTCTTTTTCCAAAGGTTGCAAAGGTTGAACGATCTGACAATCTGCCAGTGTACAATCCATTACACGATCTTTTTTTTTTATTATTAATTATTTATTTTTAGAAAATAGAAAATTATTTGTATTTGGTATATTATTATTCAATTTAATGGATTTAATTATCAGATCATTTGGAATAAGTTAAATATTAACAAAATATATTTATATTGTGCAAGTTATAATGATGATAATAATAAGTTTATTTTTTTTATTATCAACTTGTATCCATGGCATTATGATTATTGCCACTACCACCATCATTACCACCACTACTACCACCACAACCACTACAACCCTTTAGAGCTTTGTTCCGAAATATTCAAACCTTGCTTGATGTACTATGCCAAAGGTCTATCATTAATAAATAAATTTCTTTATTATTAATTATTATTTCTCCAATTCTTCGTATTCATAATTATCAAACAATAAATTAACTACTATTATTATTATTATTATTTTGAAATTTTGACCATGTAATTTTAAAATTTTAAATAAATTAATAACCTTATAAATAACTATAAATCAATCCCTTATAATTAAAAGCAAAATTTTTCTAACACAACCTTCCAAGTGGTTATAAGCAACTTTGTAGGGAACATTTTGGCACATCTGTTGCTGCTGAATTTGCTTTAGTCTGCATACTAGTTGAGCGATAATCTTAAAATAAGTGTGAAGAAAAGAAACAC